TGGGTCAACCGGGTTCTGGCAAGTCAGCGCTGATGAAGGTACTGAGTGGCCGATTCCCTATGAGCAGGAATATCACAATGGAGGGGGACATCTCGTTCAACTCGGTGGCGCACAAGGACATCGTGGATCGACTGCCGCAGTTCGTGTCGTACGTGAACCAGCGAGACAAGCACTTCCCCACGTTGACAGTCAAGGAAACTCTCGAGTTCGCCCATACTTTTTGTGGCGGGAAGTTGCTGGAACAAGGCAAGGGGATGCTCGAGATGGGGCACCGTACCACCGACGCCGAAGCGCTTGAAGCCACCAAGAACATCTTCGCACACTACCCGGAGATTGTGATCCAGCAGCTGGGTCTGCAAATCTGCCAAGACACTGTGGTCGGTGACAACATGTTGCGTGGTGTGTCGGGCGGTGAACGCAAGCGTGTGACGACTGGCGAGATGGAGTTCGGTATGAAGTACATATCGCTCATGGACGAGATCAGTACGGGTCTCGACAGTGCAGCCACGTACGACATCATCAACACTCAACGCAGTGTAGCTCATAGACTGCGCAAGACCGTCGTGATCGCCCTACTGCAACCGTCCCCGGAGGTTTTCTCCTTGTTCGATGATGTAATGATTCTTAATGAGGGGGAACTCATGTACCACGGACCATGCAGCGAAGTGGAGGCCTACTTCGAGACTCTGGGCTTTAAATGCCCTCCAGAACGTGATATCGCCGACTATCTGTTAGATCTGGGTACCAAGCAGCAGTATCCTTACCAAGTCCCCACTCACCCTACGAAGCAGCCTCGAAGTCCCAGTGAGTTTGCTGACAGCTTCAGTCAATCTCGGATCTACCGCAACACACTGGCGGCTCTGGAAGCTCCGTACGACCAGAAATTGGTCGAGAGTGTGAAGGACATCATCGACCCCATGCCCATGTTCCACCAGTCGGTATTCGCCAGTGTTTTAGCTCTACAATGGCGAGCTCTATTGATCACGTACCGTAACAAGGCGTTTGTTATGGGACGTTTAATGATGGTGTTAATTATGGGACTACTGTACTGCTCCATCTTCTACGACTTCGACCCGACCCAGATCGCTGTGGTCATGGGCGTCATCTTCGCTACCGTCATGTTCCTGTCCATGGGTCAAGGTTCCATGATCCCAGTGTACATCGCTGGCCGCGATATCTTCTACAAACACCGTCGTGCCAACTTCTTCCGAACTGGTTCGTACGTCCTCGCAACGACCGTGAGTCAGATCCCATTGGCGTTGGTGGAGACCATCATCTTCGGCTCGATCGTGTACTGGATCTGTGGCTTCGTATCGGATGTCAAACTGTTTATCATCTTCGAACTGGTGCTCTTCCTGTCAAATTTGGCTATGGGAATGTGGTTCTTCTTCCTGGCTGGAGCGTTACCCGATGCCAACGTTGTGATGCCTGTGGGTATGTCGTCTATCCTGGTGTTCGTCATCTTTGCTGGTTTCATCGTGACCAAGGCTCAGATCCCGGACTACCTCATCTGGGCGCACTGGATTAGCCCCATTGCTTGGGCTCTTAAAGCTTTGGCTATCAACCAGTACCGCTCCGACGACTTTGACGTCTGTGTGTACGCTGATGTGGACTACTGCTCGAAATACAACGGTATGACGATGGGCGAGTACTATTTGGACCTTTTCGGCATGGAAACCGAGAAGAAATGGATCGCGTACGCCTTCATCTACCTCATTGCCGTGTACGTGTTCTTCATGTTCCTGTCGTACTTAGCGATGGAGTTCATCCGCTACGAGACGCCAGACAACGTCGATGTGTCGGTCAAATCAATTGAAGATGAAAACTCCTACGTTCTCACTGAGACTCCGAAGGCCAAGGGTGCAAACGCGATTATTGATCTTCCCGTTGCAGCTCGAGAGAAGAATTTCGTGCCGGTGACTGTGGCGTTCCAGGATTTGCACTACTTTGTGCCCAACCCGAAGAACCCGAAGGAGCAACTGGAGTTGCTTAAGGGCATCGATGGATTCGCTATTCCTGGCTCCATTACGGCGTTGATGGGCTCTACCGGAGCTGGTAAAACTACACTTATGGACGTGATTGCTGGCCGTAAAACTGGAGGAAAAATCACCGGCAAGATCATGTTGAACGGCTATGAGGCGTCGGATCTTGCTATTCGTCGCTGCACTGGGTACTGCGAACAAATGGACGTGCACTCTGAAGCGGCTACGATCCGAGAAGCGCTGACCTTCAGCTCGTTCCTGCGCCAAGACGCTTCAGTCTCGGACGCTAAGAAATACGACTCAGTGAACGAATGTATTGAACTGCTCGG